TCTTCTGTATTGTGAATCTTTGAGAGAATATTTGCTGAGACCCTTCATGGGCACCATAGGAAGTATTGGCAGCCACACTGGTGCTCGAAGGTGTCATGCTGGTGACCCCCCTCAGAAGGGATGGAGAACTGTGGTTGGAGCAGCGATGCTGGTCTGAGAAAGATTCCTGCCTTGTAGAGGCTAGGCACGCCTATTTGGGAATGTAGTGAAATCCCTCTTGCTGCTGTTGCTGTATGTTCTCCTCTTACCTCAACTTCAAGGAAGTTGTTCTCATTAGTAATAATGAGTTTTGTGCTCTCCTGCTGAAGGGGGATTTAACATAAAGCTTCCCCATCAAAGGCTTGCCTATCAAACTGTGGCAGAGTTACAAGGAGGCCACCCACCGGGACAAGGCTATCAAGGTGTAGGTAGAAGGAAATGGATGTGCCTCCTGCCGTAATCCAAGTCCCCCTGAAGCTGAATTATTAATTCCATTTTCTTTGGGCAATAGTGCAGCTGTGGAGGGATGATACTTGCTAACGTCGGCTCATAAGGACAGGATGATGGCAAAAGCAGAAAGCCTCATTTACGGCTAAGCAGAATATTCTCAGTGACCTGCAAATTCCATGAATGTCATGAATACACAAGGGGTCCATTCAAATGCAGAGCATTATTCCAATGTACAAACTCTCCCAGAGGTGTTCACTGCTAGGCCACTCGGAGGTCCACAGGTCATCCATCAGTATTTGTGCATTCAGGGTTACATAACTTGGGATTGGCTAGATGGCTTGTCACATGTGCTACCCTTGCAGATTGAAGCGGATGGAGAGCCAGCTTCCATTTTTAGTAGGAATTGGCAAAGTGAATTGAAAGATGACAACATTGCTGAGGCAATTTATTCAAGGGTGCAGAGGCAGGACAGGTTCGGGTATTTGTTGAAGGAAATTGCTACTCAAATTTTATTCATACAGCCAAAAAACATTTGTTCCAGGTCCATTCTTCCCCCACATCTCACATTCATTTTGCCCTCACAGTATTTGAAACCACTACACTGGAGGCCAGATACAAGAAATAGTGTCATTCCAAGAAGCCAGAGGCCCAGGCCACTGATCTAGGGAAATAACTTTAATAGGAGCATCAAGTGATAATGGACCTCAAACAATAATCCACTTTAGTTTGGGAAAGAGAAGTACCCTCAACTGTTCTGCCTCTTTCTTAACATACCATCCAACCACTTGGTTGGATAGCCCTGCCTCAGTCCCTGCCCACTCTATACTTCCTGTTCATCTCTATTGCCTTTGTCTTTTCACTAGTCAAGCACACCTACACACTACTACCACTTTTACCAGGGAGACATCAGTATCCCGGTCTTCATGTTTATAGATTGTCTTTCTTCTGTTGATCCTGGTTTCAGCAAAGTAGAACCATTTCTGCTGGCCTAGTAAATATTTAGAATGGCTAGCCAATGTTCTCCAGATGTTGGACTTCAGCTCCCAACAGCCTTGATCAATATTGCCAATAATGAGAGTTAAAGGAGTCATAGTCCAACAGCACTGGGAGGGCACCATGTTGACTTAGAAGATACAACGCACAGAGCTACACACCAACCTTTAATATACATTCCCCTCCCTCCCAATTCTGACTCAAGCGAACCTCCCCTGAAAGTTAGTTTTTTGGATTGTGGAGGAAGAGATTTTGTCAGGAGAAAGATGCAGGGGTGTAGGAAGGGGTGTGTGTGCATATGGGGGGATGCGGTCCACCCCGGGTGTTATCCCTGAGGGGGTGACAAAATGGCACACTGTGGGGGGTGGCCCTTACCACAGGGCCTGGCCTGCAGCGTGCCTGAGCCACACGTCTCTCCTGGGAGCGATGCGGTGGCTCGGGGCCCTGCTCTGCCGTAAATGGCAGCGTGGGGCTTGCGTCCACCAGGCAGACTCCGTGGGCAGCTCGCCGCAGTGCCCCCCTGGGTGGATCGTCGTGTCACCTCCGTGTGCGGATCACCCCGCCCCCGCTTCTCCGGGTGTCGGAGCAGCTAGCTACACCCCTGGAAAGATGAATGCATTTTAAGTTGTGAACATTTTGTTTTGCACTTTAACGTGAGCTGTATTATCAACACATGATTCCCCTTCCCTTTAAAGAAAAAAGAAGGCAAAATTGTGGGACCTGAAAGACTTCCACCCTCTGAATGTACCACTTACTTATACCTAGGGATCTTCTTAGCAGTGCTCTTCCCAAGTGAGGCATTGTGGGTGGCTGTGTGGGGAGAGGGGGTCTTTTCAGTGCTGGCACCCAGTTATGGAACGACTTCCCAAGAAAGGGTCTCCAGGCACCTAATCTCCCTTGTCATTTCAGCACCAGGCAAATACATTTTTAATTCCCCAGACTGTTTAATTTATTCCCCCCCCCCAAACTTGTTCTTACTCTATGGTATTTAATCTTTTATGCTGCACTGCATTATTGGGTTAAGTAGTCATTAAATTTTAATTTCTTTTTACTCCTCTTTTGTCATAGGGTGGTGTCAGATAGCCATCTCTAACAGGACTGGAAGTTGTCAGCGCGTCTTTATTTCAGAGCAGCCATGGCGAGTCTCCTCTTCCTGAACAGGAGATCATCGCAGGTTTCCCTCTAGCGCACTGGTCTTCAGCTGGTGGGTCATGGCCTGAGCCAAGGTGGTCACAACATGAGCACTACCATCATGCAAATATATGGAACAAGGTTAAGAAATGGGTCCCCAAATGCATGTTCGGGTTAAAAGTTAGTCCTGGGTCTGAAAAGGTTGAATAGACTGGCTCTAGTAGATCATGATTTCATAGATCCCCCCCCCCGAAGTCTCCTCCCTTTCTTCTCATAACTCCCTCAATAAATTCATTCCCCCCTTTTGCCATTCGGTAACTAGGACCAGGTAACTCACAGTCTAGTATGCTGTTAACTGGGCTCTTTCCTTCCTTGTTTTGTTCCTTGTCAGGGGAGAGTCTCTCAAGTTTCAGTCCTTCTGCTGGTCTTTGCATCCCACACGGAACACACCTTCTCTTTATGCAGTCATGGTGGGGGGCTGCTGGAAGACCCCAGACACCCAGTTGTTGCTGTGTCACTTGTGTTTCAGCGGATCCCCCCCCCCCCCAGTTTTTGCCAGTTGGTCATGGGATCATGTAGCAGCAAGCAGGCATGGGGGAGAAACTCAGTTTGGCTCACATTGGTAATTCATAAACAACAAGAAGAAATGTACTCTTTTCTCTTCTGGCTCTTGAGAAAAGCCCCTAGACCTGATTGACAAGGAAGGAAAGTGGCAAAGTGTCCTTCTATCCCATGATAGGGAGAGCCAGGACTTCTCTGCTCCTCAATCTTAGCAGTGGTTTTGCTCTCATTGGAGAATGGAGCAAACTTATTTATGGAAACTACATGTGCACTGGCTAATGCTTCGTGGGTTCCTTCCTGATTGAACATTTCCCTGAGAGCAGCAGCACGAGGTAGGAGGCTACCTACTGTGAAGATGCTATGCTTGCTTGAACAGAGGGCTTAACCTTAGACGCCAAGAGGGACACAGAAGAAATTGCTAGTCTGGATGGGGAAAATTGGTTGTTTTAATAAAACCTGGCAGGGGACCACAGGGGGAGCAGGCCAACCCACCGCTCTGGCAAGAGCGAATCCACAGCTGGGGGAGGAGCAGCACCCTCGATATGGGGAGTCTGACTGTCTAGAAATGGCTCACAAATGCTCACAGCAGGAAATCGAAGAGCATCACAAACCACACACTTTTGTTGCGCGAGTGTGACCCCCCTGCTGCCCTTCAAGTCTTTTGTTTCTTCAGAGTAACAGAGTTGCAACTGGGAGTTTGTGGGGAATGATGTGCCCTTGCCCACTGAAACCACGGCATTGATACATGGGGCAGCAATCACTCTTAATTCCCTCATGGGAGGAATCCAGCATAGCCAAGCAGAGACAAAGTCACACATTCACACACAACTCAGGGGAGAGTTAGGCATACCATTTCAGCCACACTGAGACTGGAGCCAGAAGTACTAATGGGATTGTGCGGTTGCTGCTGCTGAGCCCAACTAACCTCACAAGGTTGTTGGGGATTAAATGAGGCAGGGGAGAAGCACATGAGCCACCTTAAACTCATTGGAGAAATAGGTGGGCTATAAATGTCACTGGAGAAGGAACCGGCAAGCCACTCCAGTATCCCTGCCAAGAAAACTCCATGGACAATAACAGGCATATAAAAGTTATGATGCTGGAAGATGAGCCCCCTAAGGTCGGAAGGCTTCCAACATGCTACTGAGGAAGAGTGGAGGACAAGTACAAGTAGATCCAGAGCTGTCGAAGCCAAAAGGATGCTCATTTGCTGATGTGCCTGGAAGTGAAAGGAAAGTCCAATGCTGTAAAGAAAAATATTGCATAAGAACCTAGGTCCTAGAATGTAGGACCATGGTAAGCTGGATGTGGTCAAACATGAGATGGCAAGAATAAATATGTGGTGCTGGAGGAGACTCTTGAGCGTCCCATGGACTGCAAGAAGATCAAACCTATCCATTCTGAAGGAAATCAGCCCTGAGTGCTCACTGGAAGGACAGATTGTGAAGCTGAGGCTCCAGTGCTTTGGCCACCTCATGAGAAGAGAAGACTCCCTGGAAAAGACCCTGATGCTGGGAAAGATTGAGGGCACAAGGAGAAGGGGACAACAGAGGATGAGATGGTTGGACAGTGTTCTCGAAGCTACCAACATGAGTTTGACCAAACTGCGGGAGGTAGTGGAAGACAGGAGTGCCTGGTGTGCTCTGGTCTATGGGGTCAAGAAGAGTCGGACACGACTAAACAACAACAACAACGTAAATGTCACAAAATAAATAAATAAATGACTCTTTCAATGTGGGCTTGACACTTTTCATAAGGGAAAAATCCCTATATTGGTTTTATATGGATTGCTCCAGTGCTTCTTTCTTCCAGAGTGCTCAGAACTGTAGAGCTGGAAGGGACCACGAGTGCCATCTGGTCCAACCCCCTACAATGCAGGAATCTTTTACCCAACATGGGGCTCAAACCTACAACTCTGAGATTGAGAGACTCACGCTCTAGCAACTGAGCTATCCCAGCAGGATGCTCTTCTTATCTTGATACCTTTCTTATTACATTTTATTCACTTTGGTTGTACCCTTAAAAGACATGCCATTTTGTTAATATGGATATGGTACAGTATTTCGAAGAGAAACCAGAGTATGACACGGTATAGTATCCCATGCTGTGGTTAGTTCAAGCTTCGTCACTACCTTGAAGCTGAATAGCTTAGAAGTGGACCTAAGTCCAGTTTGGCTGTTCACTGCCATAGACAGATGGAGTATGTGCAACCGTAGCTATCATGGAACTGATGCTACTATTCCATGTTCAGCTCTGACATTGCCTTGAAGCAGACTCAAGGAATGCCTCCTGGGTGAAGCTCATCTTATATCTTTGACTGATTTTTCACTTTTTATACTGTATCCTTGTAAAGTGCTTAGAGACAATTGTAGTTAGTGCTATATAAGTTATATAAGTTATATATAAGTAAGTGCTATATAAATTATTTAAATAAATACACATAAATAAAAATCCTTGAATGATCAGAGAGTTTAATCCAAAGGATGGGATCTTGGGGGTCTGTTTTGCTACTGCTTCTTAAATGTCATTGGGCAGGTCATTTAATCCATGCATCACTTTCTCACTTCTTGCCTTTCCTAATTAGAATGAAAAGGCCCTGGAATACGTACTGTCCCTTGCTACATGCTTGTCTTACCAAGACCATCATGTTTTGGCCTTGCTGCTTCAAGAGGCCCCTTGGCACCTCTTGCAATAGTGCACTTTTAGCATTAGGTGCCACATGCCTGGATGCTGTTCCTATGTTTCTTTGCCTGTGGCTCCATGCAGGGGGATAGTAGGACAAATGACTCCAGAGCTGCACAGAATCTCATCAAACCAAAGCAGGTGGAAACACTCAACTGTGGTGCAAAATCCGTCATAGAAATAGCATTTGCATTAGTTGGCAGTGGAAGCAGTCTCTGGAGGCAGCAAGGGACGAACGAACGATACAGATGGCTCTGCTGGAAAACTGGGGATGGCAGGGGAAATAATGATCTATTGGTAAAGAGAGATACTAGTTAAGCCAGCAAGAAGGGGGAATGGAAAGACACTTGGAAACGGGCTGTACCACCTGCAGAAGGAATGGGATATTGTGAGATAGGATGGAGATAGAAAAGATCAAAATATTGCTACAAAAGATGGGTGCCTCCCCTCTCTCTGCTGAGCAGTGGCAAGAGCCCCTGAGGTCCCAGGCCCTCACCCTGTGTCTGTGTTCCTTTGAAGGATGGAGACACGGCGGAGACTGTTGTAGCTTTAAGAAACATGGTTTATTTACCTATTTACACCTTCAGCCTGCATGGAGAGGGTCCAGCATGGCCATTTCAAGAGGGGCTTGTCCTCCATAGCAGTGCAGCCCTGGAGTTCAAAGCATCTCTCCCAGCCAGCCTCCCCAAGATGGATCCCAGTCTTTCTTCCTCCTCCTTCTTCCCAGCACCCCTTGCTCAAAAACTGTCCTTTCCTGTCACGTCAAACAACCCCCCCATCACCTTGACAACACCTGTCTCCCTAGGCCAAAGGATTCCTCTCGGATGGCTCATCAACCCCTTTTGTCATATTAACAGATTTTCTGCTCTTCACTACGCCAGCCAGACTGTTTTGCAGAAGCCAGCATAGGGATTCCTTGTCTGGTACTGTTCTGCAGCTTGTACTTTCATCCATATCCCAATTAATCAAAATCCTACCATTTATCAATTTCTAGGGTTTAGTAGGGTCCCTCCCAATCTATAACAGTATGATGCTCTGAAATGTTACAGTGGGAGGAAAACAGGGGCACAATAACTATTGATTCAGGACAGGGAAGAGTGGCTCTTGAGGCAGAGTTTAAGCAGAACTAAGTTGGGCTGTTAATTGCCGGCCATTTCTTAGTGTTCAAGGGTGTGGTTTATCCACAACATATTATGAGGTCTTCACAGGTGCCAAGCGGGAGAGGGCATGCTAGAGGCAATTCATGTGGGTAGAGGTAAATGAAGCACAGCCTTATCTTCCGATACCAGATGCAGGGAAGATGCTTCTTGCCCTTGCAAGCCCAGCAGACCATGATTTTACAGCGGGCCGCCTACTTCAGTCTTCCTCCATTAACTGCCTTCGAAGTCAGGTACCTCATTTCACACTGTGGAATAAAGCCAGTTGGATTTTAGCAATTTAAATCGTTCCCCCCAAAAAGTGTAATAAAAATCATCAGTCACATTAAGGAATCATCTACAGAATACAGGATGCCAAGCAATCAGTGTGAATTTAAGCAAGACGCAAACGTCTTTGGCTGGCAGAAGCTCCAGGGCTCATTTATCATTTAATGCGGAGAACACTGCAGTGAATCTTGTCTGAAGGCCCTTACCTAACGAATTGGCTCCCGCACAGTTCCCCCTAATTCATGATTTTGTTCCGCTTGATAAAGTCTGGGATTCATGTCCCTGAGGCATCTGGTCATGTGTCAGAGGGAAGATCAACTTGTGATCTTAATGTCGTGCCTTCCATTTTGTGAAATATTGTATTTCTGTTTGAATGTTTGTGATGTGTCAGCCTTGTACGTTTGCTCAGGTAGACAGTGCTGCACACTCACCTATCGACTTGCAGCTGTTGCTCAGCATTTGACAGAATATAAAATGCTGACAGGAACTTTTGACATTTTTTATCTTGTTCATTCTTATTCCCCTGGCCCCCGCCCTCCAGGCGGTAAGGCTGAGCTCTCACGGACCCTGGCTACCCTCTCTCAATTTTGAGTTGGGGCAAGTGCATTCCTTTGTATTTCCCCAAGTGCCTTACCAATGGAGATTTCAATTGAATGTATTTTTATATCTTTTTTTTCCCTCTCTCTCTGTTATTGTTATATTTTTTTTTGTATTTTGTATTGTTCTTTTTTCTTTTTGTAACTTTAAACTTTGAATAAATATTATTATTAAAAAAAAAGAGATTTATATATACATATATATAAATAATCTTCATATATATGCAACTTTTCTGAAGATTATTCATCTCTATAAAATAAATCCTATAAAATCAACTTTCTACAACCAGAATACCTCCCTCCCCACAACACACACACACATGGGTGAACTTCTCATTTATTTATATTTTATGAAAGCTAAATAAATAAATAAATATCTCTTCAAATAACCTGAAAACCAATAAACTAGTTTGTTACACCAAGACTGGTTGGATTATTACAAATTCATGTTATTTTCAAAAGGTGTTGAAATAAAACCTCCTGCCTTGCCCTCAACAAATGGCTGGGGAAAGGGATCAAAATGTTGTTAGTCTTCTCCCGACCCCGCCCCCCCACAAATGAGCAAATGTTAGGCCAAGAAATGTTAAACACACACCACACACACACACACACACACACACTGCGCCAGGCCTCCCAGTGGAGTAGATAGTGGAGGAGAAATGAAGATACAGTCATACCTCGTGTTGCATTTGCTTCATGATACGTTTTTTCAGGTTGTGTCCCGCAGCGACCTGGAAGTACCGGAAAGGGTTACTTCTGGGTTTCGCCACTTGTGCATGTGCAGACATGCAAAATGATGTCACGTGCATGTGCAGATGTGGCGAATCGCGACCTGCGCACGCGCAGACGTGGGTTGCGTTCTGCTCATGTTGCGAATGGGACTCTGGAACGGATCCCGTTCACAGCCAGAGGTACCATTGTATATAGTTATTCTATTCGCTATCCACCTATTTCTTTCAGGTATTGACAAACAACGCATTACCATTGGCTACCTCATGCCTTTCTCTTTCTCCACACTCCAGCACAACCACCCATCAGATGTACTTCATGTAAGCCCCCAAGAGGGTGTGGATGTGAAAAGTAAGCATGCGCACATGTACACGTCCCAGAGCAGGGAAACCATAAAACATTAAAAATAAAAAGAAATAATCTTCTAAGCCATGCGTGGAGGTTTGTTTGTAGACAAGGGGATAAAAAGGGCATGGGTGGAAAGTTGGCAGCATCAAGAGGTGGGACTCCAAGAAACCATGGATTAATCAAGCCTCTCTTTGCCCCCAGACAAACAGTTCTTTGAGGAAGCACCAGCTGAAGATCAATGGAACTCTTGAGTAAAGATGAACAAGATCTGGTTGAAAGAAGTGAATAAGAGTAGATTACAAGGAAGGCCAAAAGAACAAGTACCTTGAGAAGAACATTTTGGTCCTCTGCAGTTGTGTAGCCAAGAGCTTCTGAGCCTCCATTGTTTCTCTACCTTGTTAGTCATTACTGACATTTCCCATTGTTTGGTGTAAAGTTAGTTTCCATTGGTTTTGCCTGATACACACATCCTGCGGATCCTCCAAGGGTCCCTGTTTTCCAGGGACGTTCCTGATTTAGAAAAGCCTTCCCGGTTTCTGAATTGATCCCAGAATGTCCTGCTTTTCCATAGGACACCCCTATTTTCATCAGAAAAATGTTAGAGGGTATGGTAGGATGTCCGTATTTTCATTGGAGAAATGTTGGAGGGTATGGAGTTATTTGACTCCCGAACTGTCTGAAGGCAATTCTGTATAGGGAAGGTTTTTGGTTGTTGTTTTTTTTAAAATGTTTAATGTTTTATTGTGTTTTTATATATGTTGGAAGCTGCCCAGAGTGGCTGGGGCAACCCAGTAAGATGTGTGGGGTATAAATAGTAAAATTATCATTATGGAATGGGATGTCCCTATTTTCATCGGAGAAATGTTGGAAGGTATGATTCTGCAAAGCAATTTCCTCTAATATAATGCATTATTGTATGCTAACTGCAATAGTTAATATATGCATTAATACAACACTCTATGCTAGTATATTCATTTTTGGCAGGAGAACTGCATCACAAAATTTGGAGACATGCAAATTTCAGAAGATGGCTACGTTCTGGTTCACATCTTGTTTCAGAAAGTGCCAGCTGGGCAACTTCACCTTTAAATGCACACTTCCTTGAGTTTCTCCCCCATCCCTAGTTGATGGCAACCATTCTTTATTGGTAAAGTAGGTTTATTACTGTCATCAGATGAGG